GTCTGGAAAGAAAAGTGGGATCCTGGAAAATTCAGGTTAGAAGGGACCTCAGGAGATCACCTAGCCCAACCCCCTGCTCAAAGCAGGACCAGCTCCAGCTAAATCATCCCAGCTGCCAGACTGAGATCTAGTGTTCTCAGAAAGTTGGGTGTCTCAGAGGAAAAGAGGGGGCAGAGCAACCTCTCGTGCTTTTATGCCCGCTGCTGCCCAGCTGAAAAGAGAAGTGAGGCTGAGACCAGGAGAAGGGGAGCGAGCCTCACCCCTGCGAGGATCCCCTCTCTGCTGCCTGCGGCGTGGGACTGCAGTTAGATAAGGTGGTGAAGGGAAAGCAGGGAGTGAAATCCGAGTAGGGACCCAGGGGAAGCAGCTTCCACAAACAATCACGCTGTGTCTGCGCCGGAGCGCGGGGCAAAGCCATTGCCACAGCGCCCTCTCCCACGCGCAGCCTGAACTAGAGATCTGATCCTGGAGATGGGGGGGTGCTTTCTCCTCTTTGCCCCCCTGCCTGCCTTTCCCCAGCCCTTCCACGTTTCCTCTATGAGCAGACGCTACAGAAAGGCTCTCCCAGCCTCTCCCTTTCTGCCACACGCACTCAAGCGGCCTCGGAAAGCCATCCTGTCTTCCTAGGAAACCCAGCATCTCCCCTCGACCTGCTTGCCTGTATCATGGCTCTTTCTTTTTTTTTTTTTTTTTTGTAATACAGCAGCCCATTATCTCATGCTGTTAAATGCAGGGGATGGTTGCGATCCCCGCATCAAATGAAAGAGGGGGAAGCTCTCCGCAGCCCCGCAAGAGCCGATCCAGGTGCGGGGTGCGGGACCGCAGGTCCCAGGGCGCTGCGTCTACAAGTTCCTGCGCGACCATCCACTCCTCTGCACTCGGTAGCGTGGATCTGGGCCGGGGCTTGCAGTCCTGGGTATGGCAAAGCTGGAATTTTAACCTGATTCAAGACAGCAGGATCGGGTCCCAAAGCAAACACCCCCGGAACACACACGCCTGTGCATAAACACACATCGCCAGTTATTACACAGAGCAAACAGCTCGTGTTTGCCTTATATTAGGGAGGACACTATTCCCAGAGACCAACTTTGATCGCCTTCAAACTTCAGCCTCGGAAGTGGCTTTGGTGAGAGCAGGCGGAGGTTGCACTTAACAAACGATCAACCACGAAAAAAACAAAACCCCCAAACACGCAGGTCTCCCCCAAATCCTTAAGGAGAAAGAGAACCGGGAAAGGACCCTTCTCTGTTAACTGTTTATTAATTACCCCTCCAGGAAACTTTAAATTACAAGAGGAAAATGCGGCCGTCGCTAAACAGCCAGGCGTGCAAATACTGAAACAATGAATAGATATTCAAATCAAAAGGCAGCGTGTAGGTTTTAATGTCTCCGTGTAGGCATTTTAATTCGCTACAGTTATTACCCATAAAAAGTGCACGTCGTGCTATTCTACTGCTTAATAGTGCAAGATAGACGGCTTTTATTAGTCACAAACAGGACTCTTGGAAGAGGGGCTTTCAGCTCAGGAGCCCCATGGATGACAAGCTAAAGTAATCAGGGCAAAAGAGAGCAGAAACCGGGGGAAAGTTCAATATAATCCGTACCCCGGCCATTTTCAGAAAGCAATATGGGCACACATTTCAGGGAGGTCTTATCACAGAGACTTTACACGTTGTATTGAAATGACCTCAGCAGCTTGTCGTTCTCCCAGTTCTGCTAAGTCCAATCAGTAATGTTTTTATTGCAATGAGAAGCATGTTCCCTCCTTGCAGTGGACAAGACCATATCCTTCTGATGCTAAACAAACAAACAAAAATTATGCAAATCAAACCAAGGCTAGAATTTATATTTTGAAATGATAATATTAAATTCTATCAATCTCCCGCAAAATTAGTCCCCGTTTTTTTTTGAGACAAAACAAGAGGGGGTTTCTGGAACGCAGAGATGAAAATATTGCACTTTTTAGTATCGGTTGCTCTTTGTGTTTGTTAGGGCTTGAATTTTTGATTGAGTACGTCGTCCCAAGTAAATCACAGAAGATTTGCACTGAGGCAGAGCGGCAACATCCCATTTGATACATACACGCATACATACACACCTATCCCGCGTGCGTAACACGTGTGTGTGTAGATATGTACATACATGTAGCTGCGCACACTCTGAACTGAATTATATCAGTCCTCTTGGGACCACAGTATTTATTTAAGCACTCTTCCCAGGTCATAACTGTAACACTCACTTAATAGCATTAATCCCCTGTTAAAATGTAAACACAGCGGCCATTGTATTCCCAATCTGAATTGCACCACTAATTATTAAAGAGGGGGAACTAAAAGCAATCAATTCCCGTAGATAAATACTTACGTCACCCCCGCTGGAAAGAAGAGAGACGTGTCTTCCCAAATAAAAAGGCGGAGGGTCTGCTCTATTTCTCAGGGCGTGCTGTTTGATTTAGAGAGATTCATGTATGCATTTATAAGGTTATAATTAATTTTGCATTGGGAACTCTGCAGCTGCTGCAGCTGCGCTATAACAGAGCCCCCCAAATGCAGATCCTTAAAGGTCGGTTTGCCAAAGAGAGAAATGTACTATTCAGATGCAATCGCCTGAGATCGATTATTCTATATAACTCTGGCAATATGAAAGTGCGCTATGTTAAGCTCTTGTGGGGGTTTTTAAAAACATTTTTCTAGTTTTATTTAATGTATGTGCATTAATCATCACGTAGGGGAGCGAGCGTCTGTCCTGTAATCTGTTGCATTGAGTTTAGCTGTTGTTTATCACTTCCTTATCGCGAACTGGGAACTCGAGATTTCATGACAAGAAATACCTGTTGGGGTTAACCTCCTCCCCCTCACCTCCCTTTTTTCGAGGATTGCATCTCCCAGAGGCCAGCTGATAGAGCTGGAGAGGCATTAATCCACTGTGTCTGCTGGCCAGACCGCTTCTGAGCCGTGCGTGGGAGGGATGGACATGGGGGTGAGCAGAGAAGAAGGGGGGGGGAGCCCAGGTGACTTCCAACAACCAAAAAGCCAAAAACTCAACATGCTTCCAGATGTCCACCCGGGCAGGTGATGCCCAGACCCTCCGCTTCCCAGGGAAGCACACCCCTGGAGAGAGCGCGAGAGCATGGCAGCCGCCTCTCCCGGTGTATCTCTGCATTAGTTCTTTGGGTACAGCCGAGATCTTTTATTAGACCTAATAAAAGATCTCGGATGTACCCAAAGAGCCGGACCAACACAGCTACGCCCATACCCCTGTCTGCATTAGCAGCACTGGGTAACTGATTAACAATGGGCCGCCCGGGCAATTTATACCTCTCCCCTTCCAGTCCCTGTGCAGCAGACTCTGAGGGAACCTATTTTCCCCCCTTTCATTGTGCTGCTCTGGGGCATCTCGCAAAGCCTCCCCCTGCCAGCGGCCCGCACTTCCACATTTGGTTAACTAAATGGTGTGAGGGGGATGCATCGAGAGGGGAAAGCAGCGGGGTGGAGGGGCCCGAGACGGGCGGGGGAAGCGGTGCCATGCCAGCCGGGCGCCGGAGCCCGGCCAGCCCGCGGGAAGGTGTGCGGGCGCTCCCCTACTCAGGGCAAAGCCTGGGGGCGGGAGGGGTGACCCCGCGGGCTCCCGGCCCGGCCTGCCCTGAAGGCGGGGATGCTCCAGCTCGGGATCGGAGACGGGGACTGGCAGGGGCACGCCCTGCGGCTGCCCCGCACGGGCCCGGGAGACAGGGCTGCCATGTGTTGCACGCG